AGGACCCTCCAAGGCTCTGAGCACCCACCTGTCTATGCGGAGACGGCACACAATGCCAAGGATGTCCACCTCCCCCTTGTCCCTCAGCTGCTGGCACCCAATCCTGGTGGCAATGAAGCAGCCGGTGCGSCCGATGCCCGCGCTGCAGGACAGACAGGGCAGTGCTGAGCACCCACAGCACCCACTGCCCAGAGCTGCCCTYGCTGAGCTGGATGCACTCCTGGATCAGTTTGCTGCTCTGATCTCTTCCTAGAAGGATGCTGGGTCCAGACCCAGCTGCCAGACCAAGGTTCTCAGCCAGGCACCACCACGGGCTGGGGTCCCTCTCCCATGGCAAGGAGCTCTTGCTGTGCTGCAYAGCCCAGCTGAGGCTGCTCTGGGAGCACAAAACCAGTCTGTACCCCATCCTGTGCTCTGCAGCCCCCTCCCCTCCCAGCTGGGCTCTAACCCAGCACCAATGGTTTGCACTCAGCCTGCAGAGGTGAGTGCTGAGCGTGTTCCATAGGGACAGCCAGCTGCTCTGCTCCACTGCTCCCAAATTCACTCAGCAAGGAGAGGAAACAGGCAGAGGACACCTCCTTCAGCTGCAGAAGGGCTGTCCTGGAATACAGCTCCACATCCAAGCCACAGTCTGTGCTTGGGTGGCACAGGGAGCAGGAATCACACAATGGGTCAGGTTTGAAGGGACCAGCCATGGTTCCATCTCCCTGCTCAAGCAGGGCCTTCCAGAGCCAGAGCTGTGGGTGTGTGGTGGGGCTGGGGGCTGGGTCCCAAATGCAAACCCCTCCTGCTCCCACCCTGGGACCTTAATGCAGGAAATGCCTGCTAATGCCAYCAYCCTGYYRCCAGGATTGACACCYCTGCCATGGGGTGGYTGTGCCCAGGGGTTTCTGGGTTCCAAATGCAGACCTCTCCTGCGCCCACCCTGCTGTCCACAGACCCTGCTGCAGGAAATGCCATTCTAACACCACCACCCTGCCACCAGGATTGACACCTCTGCCATGGGGTGGCTGTGCCCTGGGCTTTCTGCACCACAGTGGGACCCTGCGTGAACACTCACGTGTGGGGTTTTTCCCTCTGGATTTGCAGACTGACCCCAAGGGGAAGCACAGACAGGGCTCAGGTGAGGTGCAGGCTCTTACCTGCAGTGCACCACGATGGGCCCTGGGCTGGCTGCAGCCTGCAGGGTCTCCTCCACCTTGGACACCAGGTGCAGCAGGGGCTTAGCTGACTCGGGYGTTTGCTGGTCCGGCCAGGAAGGGAAGAGGATGTGTTTGACCTTGTGGCATTCCTTCCCAAGCTTTTCCAGCACAGAACAGAGAGAAATCAGAATGTGAGAGCACGAGCAGAATGAAAACAGAATGCAACCTGGGGTCCAGCTCAAGCAGAGGCCAAGCAGCCTGCACCCATCTCAGCCACTCTCCTCCCAAATCTCTCTTTGAGCCTCTGACATGAGGTAGAGACCCCTGGGCCAGAGACAATGGATGTGTCCCATCCCAGAAAATGAGAACAGATGCAGAGTCCCAACACTATCCCAGAGTCCGGGCAAAGCAAGCAAGATCCTCCAGGCCAGTATCAGCCCAGGGCAACTCCAGAGAGCCCACAGGGCAGAGCCCAACAACACAGAGCAAAACCACAAGGCTGTGCTGCTCTGCCCAGCTGACCCCTGCTCCTCCTCATCCCAGGGCTGGTCCTGCTGCTCTGCCCAGCTGACCCCTGCTGCTCCTCACCCCAGGGCTGGGAGTGCTGCTCTGCCTGGCTGATCCCTGCTTCTCTGCACCCAAGGCTGGTCCTGCTCCCTCCCAGCCTCCCCAGGCAGGAGGGGCTCTGCAGACCCCTCCTCTGGCAGGGGCTCCTGAAACCATGACCCCTCCTYTTTCCTGTCACACATCTCACAGGGGTGTCAGGGACACTGCTGGGCCCCAGTGCTCCCCCTCTGACCCCAGGATGAAGCTCAGACCCACCTGCATGGAGAGGTCCCGGATCACATACTCCGCATGCTCGCTCACCCCCTGCACTTGGATGGTGAAGGGGCCGTAGGTGCCCTCCTTCTCAGGCCAGTAGTGGACACATTTCTGGAGAGCAAGGCAGGTTTGTGGCTGTGGAGATGCTCAGGGCACCCCCTGGATGTTTGACCTGTGCTTGGGTCAGTGGTCTTGGGAAAGGCATTGCCTTGGGGGTGGTGGGGGAGCGGGGAAGGTGACAGMAAGTGACACAGGGGGACAGCAAGGAAAGGACAGTTCCCTGTCCCTGCATCTGCTGCCCTTCACCCTCTCCTGGCTTTCCAGGGGGATGCATGTCCTCCCTGTGCCCTGGGAGCTTCCAGAGCCAGCAGGAGCCAGGGCACAGGGAGGCTGTCAGCTGGGAGAAAAGGGAGCCAGGACATGGCCAGGAAAGGCAGAGTGAGTTTCCAGTTCTCAGCTGCCCCAGGCAGGCGCTGTGGATTCCCATCCCAGCTGGATCCCTGGGCTGAGAGCTCCCAGTCTCTTCCCAAAACCCTTGTCCCCAAATCCCATCCTGTCCCCAAACYGTGTCCTGAACMCCAAACCTCRTCCTGTSCCYARATCCCTGGCYCCAAAKCCCATCCACTCCCCCAAATTTATCCTGAACACAAAAACCTCATCCTGTCCCCAAATCTCATCCTGACCCCAAATCCCCATCCTCAAATCCCATCCTTTCCCCAACCATTGTCCTGAGCTTTGCCCTGTCCCCAAATCTCCCTCACGAGAGAGCTGCAGGGGACCAGAGGGGCACTGCTGCCTGCTGCCTCTGCCTCATCCCAGGCTCGCCCTAAATCCTTTATCCCATTATCCAGCTGGTAAATGTGCCCAGAGCACAAAGCCATGTGAGGAGGAAAAGCTTTGCTGGACAAGGCCAAAGCTGCAGCCCTGGGGCTCTGCTCCTGCACTTGTGCTTTATCAGGGACCCTCTGAGAGAAAAGCACAAAGCAGTGGGTGCACAGACCTCACAGACCACACATCTGTCCTCACACAGCCCTCCACTGTCCCCAGCACCCCATTGGTGTCCCCAGCACCCCATTCCCGCCGTGCCCCTGGCCCATGGTACCTCCTTGCGCTCCTGGAGCTTGGTGATCATGACGATGAGGGGCGCCTGCTCCTGCCACACCATGTGCCAGAAGTCRCTGACGGTGTTGAGCATGGGGCCCTGCGTGGCGATGTACTCCCGTGGCCGCCCCGCATGGCCCTGCCAAGTTCACACACAGACATTTCTGCCTTTTGCCCAGGCTTTTGGAAATCAGTAGTTAGTTATCAGGACAACTGGTACTCGTGGACTTAGTTTTGTTTGCAAGTTTTTTTAATAATAGTTGATTAGGTCTAATATAAAATGAATTATTAGACTTACTAATTATTCATAATTATTAACAATTGTTTTATCTTTAAATATTAAATATAATATATTTATCTATTAAATATATTTTTATATTATATATGATACATTTATATTTATATATCAAATAATAATGCATTTATAGTATTATTTTAATAATATTAATTATTATCACTATTTAATATATATGATATATTTTTATATATAATAATGTATTTATATTATTATTTTATAATAATGATTAACAAGTATTATTAATTATTAGACTTGTCAATAATGAATTGTTCTTACTCTTGTTTGTTAGATGCAAGAGAAGAACAGAATAAGGAGTTTGTGGCAAATTATGTASTACACAGAAATAAAATAAGAGAAACTACTAATAGGCTAAGTACAGCAGTTTAAAATAAAGATACTTATGAGCTCAACTAGCAAGTGTGGCACCTGCAGCCCGGTGCCCTGTGAGCGCTGGAGCCCCCCGCCCTCCAGCTGGCCAGCACAGGACAGAACACTACACTCACCGTGATGTAGTTGGCGTTGATGTAGCTGTCCTCCTCCTGCTTCCCCGCCCTCCTGAGGCACACCCGGCTCTCGGGATCTGCAAGATGCCACTGGTGYTGCCCAGGGACTGAGCCTGCCCATCCTCCCTGCCTGGTGGCTGAGTCCTCCTGCTCCATGCCACGTCTGATCTGTCTGCACGTTCCCTCAGCCCTGCTCTGGTCCCATTTCACTGTCCTGGCAGGGCACAGCCCRGCCCAGACCGCAGGGAGCAGGTGGGGTCACTCACCCGCAGTGACCACCCAGGACATCCCACAGCACCCAACCAGAGCCCAGCTGAGTCCTTCCACAGCATCCTCACCCTTGACACCCYCAGGGCTGTGCCCTTGGGCCACAAAAGGCCCCATGTGTGCTGCACCCAGGGAGCAGCTCCCCACAGCTCTGTGTGCACCCCTGAAACAGCACCCAGCTCCTGCAGTGTGGGCAGGAGGGGCAGCCACGGCAGGAACARCGAGAGCACCCACGGGTGCCACCCTGGGGCCAGGGCTGCTCTGAGCCATCCCTCCCCCACGAGCAAACAGGGACAAAGGGACACGGTGGCACCTACTGGGCAAGATGGTTTTGTATCTGTCCTTGAAGGCATGTCCAGGGATTTCCAGCTCCTCCGGACTCACAAAGTTGGGTGGGATTTTCTGCAGGGGGAGAAAAGAGTCATGAGGACAAGCCCACAGCTGCCACTTGTGTCCCTTGGTGGTGTCAGATCTGGGGACAGCAGGACACAGCTGAGG